TGACATCTTTCAGGGATAGCATTAAAAAGCACAACAGCCTTATATTCCTCATAAACTTTGTCACCAGTATTGGTGATAAATTTGACCAATATTAAAGATGTCAAGATTATCATACAAATCCTTAGAGGAGTCTGTCCTAAAGCTAAAAAATCTCTCCAATAGAAACAACTTGTTAGGCAAAGACTTCAATGGAAAGAGCTTCTCTAATTCATCCCATAGGGCCATAGCAAAATCTTGTTTCCTTACTTTTCTCAAAACTTGATCAGATATATGCAAAATTAATGGAGGTATAGACAAAATCAACAGTTTCATTTTTACGATCAGCTGTCATAGTTTCAGAAAATTCTTGTGTTATTGTTTTGGAAACCTTTTGTTGAACTAAAACACCTTTCATTTTTTGTTTCCAAATAGGGAAATCCTCTTTTCCATAAAAAAGGCAAAGTTCAAATGTATTAGTTGTCATATTTTATTATTTAAAGAATAACACACAGTATTTTTAAAAATTAAAAACTAGATAGCTGATGAACTTTTGGAAACCTGTATATTTTGATCTTCGCAAAAAATGGATTTCTAGATCATAGAAAATAAACATCAATAAAGAAATATATCACAGTTTATTTCACTTACAAGAATGCACCAAAGATAACACAATGCGTGATGTTGCACACAAACACCACAAAATCAAAGAATTAGACAAGAATCTAGCTCAAAAATATCTCAAGAACAAATGAGAATAACTACAGTAGACACCCAAAGTTTTCAAATTCACCAGGATTCCATACAAATTAAGTTCTGAGGTCAATGCTCAATTTGAACACAAGGATGAATACACAAAATGGGATAACAAGTCGTAATAGCAGGGTTTGGTGTTCCACCAAACTACCAACACGCAGACCAGAACCTAAAATCTTAGGTTTAGTCTTTGTTTAGATTGAACATAGGAAGCAAGAACACTTTATCACTAAACAAGATTAAAGTACAGATTTGATAGTATAAACCCATTAATTGAAACAAACCCAAATCTAAGGTTCCACGATTTCAATGCGATCAAAGGAAGAACACTAAAAATTAATTTTTCAGGGTTCAAACTTCGATCGAAGCCTCAAGAACAGTCTTAAGAGGCTCTGATACCACTATTATACAAAACAGATGTAAAGACAACAATAAATCTAGTTTAAACAACTGGACACCAAGATTTTATCGATTGAAGGCTCGGAGATATTGTACCCTTCTATATTAACACAGAAAACCCAGATTCACTCAAGAACCCTCACAATCACTGTTAACATGCAGCTACTTCTATGGACTACAAGAACTCAACGCTACCACAAAAAAGAATACACTATTTCACCAAATTTCACAAAGAAAACTCACTCTCTAAAGAGTTACTCAAACCAGACGAGCAAACAAAAGATAAGACTAAACACTCAAGAAAACCCTAAAGAAGATGAAGACCAAATGACAGAATTGATCTAGGGTTTCAACCAAGAAAAGAATATATAGAGATTGAGTCAGCTATTGAAACAACGGTCCAGAGTAATTTGTACCTTTAGTAATAAGGTAAAACAACCAAAGTTGCATTTACTAAATGTGTTATACCTGGACATGAATATTGGGCTTGGGTTTCACTAGGCTCGTTCAACAACCGAAGTCGCCTTCACCAAACATGTGTTCTACTTGGACCTGAATATTGGGCTTGGGTTTCACTAGGCTCCTTCAGTTAATGTTATCGGGCAATAGATAGGAACATGGGCCAAGCTCTTTTCATCATAGCCTAAAGTATTGGATTGGATTTGGCATCACAGCTCCAACAAGGTTGTTGAGAATAGGTGCAGGAGTAACGGTCGAGATAAAAGAACATAGATATAAGTAGAGACAAGTCCAACAAGTATGTCAATGTTGAGTGTTGTTATTGAGGTCAAAGGGGTATGTCAAGATGTTTTTTCAATAATTGGAGAAAGACAACAAAAATGAGAAAGTTAAACAAAAGAAAAAAAGACGAGGATAATAGACACGAGTATTTACCATTCCGAGCAGTCCCAACGACTATTTCTCTACAAAAAGTCTATAAGAGATTGACAACCTTCCAGGTGCTACTCTTGTGAGGAATATGGCCTAGTGATTAACGGGAAAAAGTCAAAGATTTCTAGAAAAATTGCAAAAAACACAGAGGAATTGGTTAGTATAGTGCCAATGGAGTAGAAACTTGATATTTTCCATTCTATTGCTGGGACGATAGCTCCTTCCATGACATGACGTTGGGTATCCGCGATCAAGGGTCTAAACCCTACAAATTGGTCCAATTAAAAAGAAATGGCAATCATGACTGAAAAGACGGTAACTATAAATTTGTAGTTGAAGTCCTGAATTATCAAGAAAACCTTGTACATTACATTGTCTTTCCTTATGACTGAAGGAACATGAGGGAAAAAAAGGAGAGTAACACTAGGACTTTTAATTGAGGCCTCAATTACTACATATATGTACGAAAATTTGCGCAGTTTGGTGCGCTTGTGCCTCGTGCAATTGTCAATTAAAAGTTGATTTTGCCAAGAATTGGTTGAATTCTTGATGTTTATTGTACCCCTAGTATTGACGAGAGAGAGAGAAAATTTTGAGTTTTTATCTTTATTAGATAATGGTTCATGTCATTGCCAAGACGTGTTCTTATTTGGATTAACCCCTAGTCAATACTAGGGAAGAAAACATGGTATTCCCATTATTGATATAGTGAAGATTATTATCGAAGTTTTGCTTGTGAATGCAGGCACATTGCCAATCATGTTGTTTATTGTGTTGATTGGTTTTATTCTATTGTGTTTTGCTCTATTTGTAGTTTCCTATTATATTTGCACAAGAAAGAACAAAGTCTAAATATATTCGTACGACGGTTTTTAATAACTAGACTATATTTTAATTATATGAAAACTTCATAATCTTTACACATTATCACATTTATGTCTCAAATTGTTTTCATCGTATTTTTATTCTCAAATTAACATATATTTTACTTGATTATGGTTTCTCTTTACAATTTTCTTTGTGATAGAGTAAAAAGACTCATTTGTCACTTGTATTTTTAAATAAACAGAATAAATAATAATACAAAAATACGATTGAATATTTGATCCTCATTTAAAAATTATGATAACAATATTTTTGGACTAAAACCATGATTAAGCACACGATTTTCTAATCAATGAAATGTTAAAAATAAGAATGTAATGAAGAAAACAGTTAAGAATACAAGTGTGATAATGAATAGAATTCAATGACCTTTAATGTAATTAAAATATAGTTATTCGTTAAAAAAAAAAAAAAAATTGTAGTGTGAATATAAGCACCCAAGAAGAAATTGCCTATTCTGCTGCATTTTCAATAGATATCGTATAAAATATTGGCATAATTTCCCCAACTGAGAGATATTACCAAATATATTAGGGACATTTATTGTCAACATGAATTCATATTGTCAATTACATAATTAGTTGATTTAAAGTGAATAAATATTGGTGAAATCGAAGTCCTGGTGCCTTAAACTATTCTAATTTTGTCTAGAAATAATTTGACACTTATATTTAATTACTTTTAGTTTCAGTCAGTCGATTCAACATATAGAATTATAATTTGATATGAATACAGTAATGATCATAGCGATCTCCTCAAGTTAACCGAATTTCGGTACCCAAAAATTAAACAATGTGTGGAAATGATACTTGACAAATATGATGTATTATGTTAGAATTTTGGTATGAACTGAATTCCTTATTGAAATAATTGAAGAATTCTAATTGAAGTGCACATCAAAAATAATTCATCAGTTTGAAATACTATTGGAGTCTTATGTCAAGTTGAAATTCTATTTTGGAAGCTCATTGGGAGTTGAAAATTGGTATTGAATTTGAAGAAGAGTTCGGAATGAAGAAAACAACTTGGAAAAAAAATTGGCAGAGCCTGGTGCCTGAGAGCCGGGCTGCGGCGCCCCTGTTTGAGATTCTACCCCAGGCGCCAAGGCGCCCAGCGAGGGAGCCGCAGCGTCGGCCCCAATGCCGGGGTGCTCGGAGGTGGGTGTGTGTTTCTTCTAAGATTTTCGCGTTATTCTCTCCTTTTTCATTTTGAACTCGATTTTTTGACATCCTACTTCATCAACAATTATATTAGGAGGGTTTGAACGTCCTCTACATATTCTCTATAAATATTAGGCTCTTTTATACAATTTTATAGTGTGAGAAAAGTAATTATTAGTTTTTAGGATCGTTATAATATTTCTTCATCTTCATTATTCGTGGTGCAATAAAATCTCATAATTCCTCTATCATATGTTCTTGTCTTTTTTTATTCTTTTGCTTGCGATTATATACTTTATATTTTGTCATATAATTTCAACATCTCAAACCGATTATTGGTTTCATATCATGTGGTATTGAGCAATACGTGATCCTTGAATTCCCTATAATTGGTATCAGAGATTCTGGGCATAATTAACTCTTGTAACAGTATTGCAAATTTGTTATTATTTCAACACAAACAATACTTCGATTTGATTTATTATAGATAACTAGATAAGAAGATGAAAAAATTGTGATATTTTGACATTTCAGTTGAGCTTCAATTAAAATAATTTCATGATATCGATGACAATGATAATAAAAGATAAACCCATATAAAAGTGGCAAAATTACCAAGTAACCTCTCGCATAGTGTTCGGTCCGGTCCAGATTTAACAACGTAATATCAATTTTAAGCAATTCTCACAACACACTGTTTTGACATGTTCTTTATATGTGAAACTTAACTAACACGTCTTTAATTATGTTTAGTCATGTCCAATTACATCCCAAACACAAGCATATGAATGTTGAATAGGAACCAAATTTTTAACAACATCATGTGAACCTACCAATGTTTTGATATATGTTACATCTAATCTACAGTATTTTTGTAACGCTTACAATCATTTACAGCAAAAATTAAAGTACCAGAAAATGAGCCAAAAGGGTTCAAGCAATATTCTCAGTCACATATCCTATAGCATCGTTACAGTTGTTCAATAAATCTGTCACAATTGTTGTTACCATCTCTGTGAAAGCCTCCAAAATCTCAGGCACCTCTTTCAACAGACCATCAAGGGAAGTCTTGGTATTTTCCATCAATTCGGTGACTGCCGAGACAGTTGCAACGGAAGAACTTGATATGCCTTCTTTAAGAAGGTCGAATAGAAAAGAGATGAAACTAGTCGTTACATCTATTGCAAGATCCACTATATATTCAAGACAACCTCGGACTACGTTTCTAACTTGTTCTAGCGCGTTTTGGGTGCATTCCCCAGGAACTTTGAATGCTTGGATCAACTGCACGAGAACATGAGCCGTTGTACTGAAAATCAAGCGCAATATTAGATTCGATATGGTGTTCACAATGAAGAAAATGAACTTCAATAGGAAAACAACCATTGGGAGGGGTTCCAAGAGGCCTAATACATGAATGGATGAAGAAATCTTGGGATGGAAGGAAATATCAATTATTTTGAATATTTTTTAAGAGTTTGATAGTTGAAACCTATTTTGTTTCTCTGTTTGTGTGGTTTAAGGAAGAGTAGTTGTTTCCCTCACATTTCAACATTTCAAAGTCAACAGGGAGACTTATTCAAATGGAAGCTTCTAACTTAATCACTAATAAACAATGAAATAGTGTATATAAAAATTTTTGGGATAATTATTTAAGACTTTCACCTGGCAATCTCATTATAGAGAGAAAAATATAAAATATTAATTGACTACTATCTTGATTCTGCAATTCCCTCAGTTTTATGCGCCCCGGCCCCCGAGTGGCCTCTCTCTCTCTCTCTTTTTTTTTTCCTCGTAACTTTTATATATTTTACTAATGTATTTTCATCATGATCTTTATTATCAACTATATTATTTCTACGTATATCCGTGAGTGAAAACTGTACAAAATTTATTAATTAACGAAAGGCGAATGATAAATAGTTCCACAATTGCTTTTGCAGAGAATGTTAGAAGTATATTAATACTGGAGGAGATGACGATGATGATGTGTCCAAGTTTAGAGACCTATGAGTTTTCGGAAGGCATCAAGTATTTCGATCATGAAAGGTGGTTGGGAGATCCAGCTCAGTACTTCAAGTGCACCTTTATATCTACTCGATCATTCAAGGGTCAAGTCGATGGAACTAATGAACCAGCTCAAATATTCCTAGTGGTCATCTAACGTAGCTAACGGAGCAAGCATTGCTTGTTTGATTCATTAATGGGTCCCTATTTGTAATATGTGGTCTAACTAGAGAAATATCTTGCTTTCTTGAAAGGAAGAGTGGAATGCTTTGTCGCTATAATTCTATATTTTCTATTAAATTTTGGGGTTTCATCTTAAAATGTCAATTTTACTAAGAGTAGTAGCAAGAGTTTTTAAATGTTGGTCTATGTTTTCATTTTTATTTGACATGAGATTTATCCCTTAACATATTACTGTAAAGTTTTGGCTTGTTTGAGCAAGTCAATCTTGAAATTTGCATGCTCATTTTTTGAGTTTTAATCAGATTGAATTACTCCTTGGGGCTAATACCATATTAAGATTTGGTGTTCCATATTAAGTGCCTGGAGGCGCTTTTCAGCTAAAAAAAAAGGATTATTTGACCTTTATATTTTCAAGTGGGTCCTACATGTTAGAGAGTAAAGTCAAATATTACAGCTCCAATTGGGTCGAAAAATCCCCTTTATTTTTAGTAGAAAGTGGCACCAGACAGGCCCTAAAATGTCAACCTTATTAAGAGAAGTAACCCGAGTCCTCATATGTTGGTTTATATTTTCATCTTTATTCGTTGTGAAATTTATTCTTCATTGTCAAACAATTAATTTTGCATCCTACACTCAACTATTTGAAATCAACACGAAGGTAAATAAGAATAGTACTTCAATGAAATCTCTGAACTTGGTAAAATCATTTCCTTCACTGGGTTTCCCTTTCTTTAGATCTTGAATGGTGATATAGTTCTAACAAACTTTGCAGGAGCAATTGCGGGATTCTACTTAACAAGCACCTGCGTTTCCAATCTTCGATTACTAGAAATTGTGCGTTTAACTAATAATCCAGTTCGGGTGGTCAAGCATGAAGTTTTCTAAATAATAGGAAAGCATTAAGTTGGAAAGAACAAAAAATGAAGAGTGATGCGAAATTAATAGAACGCGATGTGTCCAAGTTATCTCTATATGTACTTTCATTGTTGGTTACGCTATGCTCTGAATTGGAACACTTGTGAAGGTGCATTTCTGAATTATCATCACCCACGAAGTAACGTGCGAGTCACAATGTCAATAAATTTACTATGAGATTAAGTTGAAGTTCACAACTAGTCAAGATCTGAAACCAACCCTCCATTTGCACTAAATTTCATGTAAAACTCTTCTATTGAGATGTCTTCAACGAAACTTGTGCGTGGTAAAAAGACTCGAAAACCGCATTCAGTATTTCTGACATTGTAGCGTTACAGAAAAACTAAAAGAAATTAAACAAGTCATTCGAACCAGATGTAACAACCTCTTCATTGTAAACTAGGGAATGTTGTAAATGCCCTCAACCAAGCACCTTTTGGGGATCTCGATCTAGGCCTCCTCATCGAACACTGACGTCCTATCCTCCAGCAAATCTTGAAAATCATGAGTTGCAACCTCTTCATCAAAACTGCCGCTATAGAATTTCAAGATATCGATAACTTTTCTGTGAAACAAAGAAAAACAAGATGTACTAGAACAACCAAGAAGCAGAGGACTACAATAGCCCAAAAAAAAAATGAAGAACAGAATAGGGAAATTCTATTTTGGAGGAGAAAGAAGGTTTTGTACTTTTCTTACTTCATATTCATCTGATGAAAACTTACGCTTTCATACAAAAGTTAGACAACAGATTTATTGGCTGCACATTAGCCATTCTTTATTTGTTGGAAGACGGAACAAGAACTATCCCAAAGAACAAAATTTTCTTTAATTCAAGGATTCAAAATCATTTCTAGCGCTTGTTTGTTTTCCGTTTTTCGTTTCTAAGTAGAAGAAATTGGACCATTGCTTTTCACAAACCCATTTTCTGACTGCATTCATCCAACCCTGATATGACATTTCACTGTAACATTTATTATTTTCCTCTTCACTTTTCCTATACTGCGCTCCTCGCCTTCTCTCCAAGAAGGCTACTTTTCATTGCTCTTTTCACTATTGGACAAACGAATGGACATAAAAGGACTTACAAAGATGACAATTACAAGTATTCAAACCAACTACGTAAATGGTGGGACCCATGATGTGATGCAAAAATGTATTCTACAATTTCAGAATGAGAAACAAACAAAGGCCTAAATGTTTACATGTATGTCGTAATAAAATAAAGTTCAGCTATTTTCTAAACTAATGTAATGAGATCTTATGACTTGAGTAGTGAGACCATCAAAAATAAGATGGTAATCTATTTATTGCAACTTAAGTTTACATGTATCTTATTCAAGATTCTCGAATTTGTCCATAACACTCGATTATCCGATATGAAGTTTTGTCATATCTTCAAATATGCCTTATTTATTAAAGAACTATAAATTGTGACTTTTATTTTGTGAATTATATATGTATCAATATCTGAACTTTGGCCATTGTAAGAAAGTCTGCTTAGGATCAAATATTTACTAGAATTATTATACGATAGAGTTTTATTTCAAAATAAGTAACTTATTTATTTTTAACTTTAACCAACAATATTCATTTAATCATAAGTACATTTTTTTGCTTATCCAAAATGGATTTAACTCCCATGATTTGATCAATGGATATCATTCATACTCTTAACTGATAACATAAACTCCCAAGTCCCAAGTGAATGTTTACTTTCCCCATAAAAATATATGTAATTGTACATCACATTGTCAATTACAAAGATAAAGAATGAAAATTTAATCTAAAGAAAAAGCCTGCAAAATTTACACAGGCAACATGTACAACAAAATCAAATTGTTAATAGATGCAGATGAAGATATATACTCTTCTCATGAGATCTTCACAACTCAAGCATCAATTGAGGGCATATAATTTAACACTAACAAATTGGTATAAAATATTTCGTCGAATGTATGAATGTGGACCTTTCCCTGGATCACAATGTCACGCAAATGATAAGATAAATTGTCGATTTCTTTTCGTGTTCCTGGCTTAATCCATAGAGAAGAGCTTGCAACACAATGAAAATCGATTGCATTAACTCACCTGTTCTCCGATCAAATCAAGTCCAACGACTAGGAAAGTTATACCTTGAAACAGGAGGAAATAGAAGTGGATTCCCTGCGCGGATAACAAGCTTCTCACCGATGCAGTCAACAAAATGAATGCAAGAGCAAGTTCTTTTCTGTACAGACGGTTTCTTCTTTTTTTCCCGGTTTTTTTGGTCATTTCTAGTTTGTTAAGCTCAGAAAGACCTGATTCTGAGGACGACTTGTGAACCCCACCACTCTCCACCAAAGGCGCCGTTTCATTTTCCACCATGGCAACTAAATCTGCTTCTGAAGATCTACCCAATTTCTTGGTGACGATCCACTCATAAGAACTTCCGAACTGGAAGAGCCCTGATACCATGGCATTGAACTTGGTCACAGACATGGTGTTCTCAAAAAGAAGATAAGGCACAATAAATGGAAACGACTGAGGAGATGGAAGGATGTTCAGTATAGAGACAAGTCCCGGGATATAACAAACAACCCAGAAAGGCAGCTGAGCTTCTGGCAGGAACATGGTCAAAGGAAGAATAATGCAGAAGAGAGTAAATGAGTAAAATGGTAGTATAAGCTTCCGCAGGAGGAAGAAGAGAAATATCAGATTTGCTTTCTTCACCCAGCCCACCTGAAATGTTCAAAAGTATGAATTAAAGTAATATGATGGTCTATGAAAAAACTTGGTAGACTGCAAAGTTTTTGAACTAACTTGTTGATAGGAAGAACTCATACATAATAAATATATGCTTCATTCTGTGCTCCAGGAACTTAATGTGAGAGTGTTCTGAATTGATTGTAACATTTGAAAATGGATTATGGGATATAAATAAGCAATGGACTATAGAAATTCTTCATGGATACAGATAATGTTTCTTAAACAAATTTTGTGCTTACGAGCACCTCTAACGCACACCAACAACGTGTGGGTGAAATATGATGTCAAAATAGCAGGTAATTTGTGGAGGAGATGGGAGACTCACACGCCCTACACTATGAAAGAAACAGGAAAGGCAGAGGGACAGAAGGGGCTGGAGCTCGTGTGATATGCTTCAAAGAAAGCTGGGAAAAGATGCATCTCTTCCTTTAAAGAGATTCTATATTTTCTGTACTAACAAGAACTTAAAACTAGAACACAAAATGCTAGTCACGTGCAATGTAAAGTGGCCTACTCTCAAGTGCAAGAGCTACGTCGAAAACTCAACTCAACTTCTTGAAATTGAATTCAGCAATTTTTTTTCCTTGTATGATTGACAGAACATTTTCTTTCTTTCTTACTGCATGTTTGGCAAAGCTTACAAGTGCTTATAAGTTGTTCAAACTCTATTTTTATCCACACATTATGTAAGACCCACAACTTTTACCTACTTTTATCCACTTAATATCCATACATTTCATAGAACCTACAGCTTATAATCTAATAAAAGTTTTGCCAAATATGCAATTATTGAAAATAGAATTAAAGAACTCGCTCTTCCCCTTCTTTTTCCATCTTGATCACACCTTTCAATTCAGTATTTTACAACAATGCTGAACAACTTCCTGATTAGCCTAATTTTCATTTCAGCCACGCACGCTAAATATTGACTTTAGGCTAGAAAAGTGGCTGAAAATTTAAACAATTGAATCTCACCAACCTTCGAGTGCAGTATGTCAATAAAGCACACGCGGAACAACTGCATGGGTCCTGAGTGCCAGCGGTGTTGCTGCTTTTTGTATGCTTCATAAGACTCAGGTAGTTCACATAAACACTGCATAAGATGAGAAAGAAATGAACCATAAGGCACAAGAAATATTTGTTACGGACATTTACACAAATTTCAATAGCTGTCTAACCTTGACGTCATTCAGATAAATAAACTTCCAACCACAAAGGTGAGCACGAACAGCAATATCCATGTCTTCAACTGTTGTTCGCTCCAACCAGCCACCGCAGTCCTCCAGGGCTTTGATTCTCCACACTCCAGCAGTTCCATTAAAACCAAAGAAGTTAATGAACCACCCATTGACTTGTTGCTCAACCTCAAAATGGAAAGCCAGATTAATGTTCTGCAACCTTGTCAGCAAATTCTCGTCCTTATTGACAAAACTCCACCTGGTTTGCACCAGGGCAAGATCATCTTTACCCTTCAAAATAAAAGAAACAATTAGTGATCACTTTCCATGATTTTTACAGCTTCAGAGTGAATATTTATAAAGCTCCGATGAATCATAAATTTATATATACAGAAAAGTTTTCCAGCCATGTCCAAATGCTTCTTGACGTTAGGCCACATGTGTAACAACATGGGAAACATGGTCATTTGAAGCCTAATTTGTCATTATTCATTAGTCAACCTACAGAAAGTGAATGACAACTAAGTACCTGCTTTACAGGACATTTGCCCGCCGTTGTTGGTTTTGGCCATCTTTCCTTATATTATTATTCTTTCTTGGTTTAAAAAATGCAGCTTTTTTTTTTACTGGAGGAAACTCTGGGGCCTTACACTCCAGCAGGAAGAATGCATTAATAAAACTAGAGTAATCTTAGACCCAAGATCAATATCATGTATTAGTCATCTTAGCCTTAGCATTTGCATTTTGGCACTACAGATTAATAATTGACTCTTACGGCTGGTATGAAAGTTACCCTCATGCTAAGAAAGAAAATGTGTAGAACAAGAGTTGACTACTCCCAAAGTCAATCAATTACAAAAGAGTAAAAAATAAAAATGAAAGAAAGAAAGAAAGAAAACTAGGTGCTAATAAAAGAATCTCTACCGTCCATGTATCAACACATTCTGAGCACTTACATATGATATATAGATTACCTTAAAATAAGGAATAGTTTTCTTTAGAAAATCTGGTGCAGGCTGGAAATCTGCATCAAATATTGCTACAAACTCATAATCTTTGACATAATCACAATTCATTGCAGACTTAAGATTTCCTGCCTTGTAGCCTGTGCGAATAAGACGGTGTCTATATATGATGTGCACACCCTTCTGTTGCCATTTATGCACTTCTGCCTTGATAATGGCTTGAACATCTGTATCATCAGAATCATCCAGTATTTGAACAAGCATTCTCTCCCTAGGCCAATCCTGAATGCATACTGCCGCAATAGACTGTTGATATACCTGAGCACCATCACAAAAAGAACTCAAAATCACCATAAATGCAACAATTTCAGTATTGTAAAAAGAGAGAGATGCAATCTGAATTCCATGACTCATTGATTTCATTTTTTACTTATCGTTTCTATGGACAGACGAAATTATCCTGAGGAGAGGAATTTACTTACATTTAAAATGACAATAAGCGCTCTTTCAAGCCAGACACAAAGTTCCAAAGACAGTTCAAACTTACATCCTTAAATTATGTAAATAGATATTACCATAAGTTAACATATTTATATATTAAGAGTGTTTCGTTTCCGTTGAATGTTTTAACTTACATCATTAAATTATGTTTCTATAAGAATACCAGCAATATCTTAAATGATAATTCAATTGGCATTATCATTTTTAATGTATAAATGTATAAAGAAAACGTTGTCATGCTTTCTATGTCCACTCATTCACTGATGGAACAAAATGCTATAAATGAAGTGTTTCCATGAGAGACAGATTGGCTCAGCCTAATATGATATCATGAGCTTCATAGGCTTCCGTTATCATATTGGCAAGAAATAAGCAGATGCTGTTAATGATTATGACATTTCTCAATTTTTTTCCTATCTCCGTATCATTCAATTTTTTGGCTGTAAGGTTTAAATGAGTATTGGTTCTTCATTTTTTTTATCACACATATCAACCAAGCATCACAGATTAGACAATGTTGGGATGATTCTAGATGGAGCCATGTTCCTAAAAATTTCTCCTTTGCAGGAAGTACATTTTAGGGAATGAAGATAATTATATTTACGAAAAAATTAACACAATGATAAAAAATTATTTAACAATACTTAGAGCATGTTTGAACCCCATTTTCTTGGAAAGAATGGATTTTGAAATAGTATTTTGACGAAGAATGTGTGACTAGAAAATAAGAAAAAGTTTTAAGTTTGCGTGCAATATTATTTTATCGAAGAATGTGTGGTAGAAAATAAGAGAGAGAGAGAGAGAAATGTATTTTGGAAATAATGGGTACCGAACAAGGGCTTAATGAATCAATACTTTTGCTGGTCAATACTTAATGGATATACCATAGCAGAACTTAAATTGCAAACATAACCATACAACCTGCAAATTTCTTTATCTTTGCTAATCAACGGATACTTTGATTTTGTCTTTAGAAATTTTAATATGAAGGTGTTTTCATTCTAGGTAGAATACTGTCATGGAAGATCTGGACCCCCATAGCTGATAAAAAAAAAAGCTATTATGAAAAAATGGCAACTATGAATGCTTCCAACTAAGGACTTTACCTCAATTAGAAAGAGGAGCATTTTGAATTTAATAATTTCTGGCAATGCTAATTATGATCCTTTCAGTTAATGATAGATTTGCATGGGAAAAAGACATTTACACTTTCCTTAAACAATTATGTATACTGTGTGCAAGAAATGTCTTTTAATTGAATTTCATCATAAACAGTATGTTTGTATAAGAAGGGAAAATATGTTACTAGCATACAAAATAGTGAATAACAATTTCACCGTGTCTGTTCCTTTATCATCTTTGGTGGGAGCAAAGGTTAAAACATTCTTGAGGTATCATATTGGGTTATTTGAATTGATCAAGCATGTTAATGTCAGTCATCAACGAAGTAAAGAAATAATGAATGTTTTTTCAAACGGAACAGTTAAGACTACAAAAATGCCTTTAATATCAAGACAATGTTAGCAAGGGGAAATTTAAAAGACATGAAGAGGAAGGCCTCTGGTAACAATTCCACGAGTTTATAAGGTGCGAGAATATCTTATTCTTCCTTCATTATAGGTATTATCATTTGTCTTTCTAAGCTGAGGACCGAAAGAAATTGAAGTTACGGAAAAATGAACAACTTTTGTTCGTTTTGAGGATATTCATAATCAATCGACCAGCTAAAATATATGCTACAGCATCAGCAGGCTGCGGAATAAATCCCCAAGGTAAGATCGTAATTTTAGTAAATATGAGTATAAAACTAAAACAAACTCAATAATTACAAAATAATACTTAGTAAATTCACTTGAATCAATATTCATTCTTGTAAATAAGATAAACTGAAATTTAGTAAAAGATAATTCTCTGTAGAGATTTGAAAACCTACATCTTCTTACCTCCCTCTCATTGCACATGGGTATTTGCAGCATCACCATCGGATAATCCTCGACATTCATACCCACATTCTCGACATCTTCTGTGTAATCCATCTCTGCCTCGGGTTTCAATCCTCTGAACTTGATATAAAAACAACCCAGCACCAAAACCAACCGATCCACCGATTGTATCATGAATAACACGATGCACGCATTTGTCAAGCTCTGCAATGGGGGCGCCAAGTAATTCGCCCTTATTATTAACCATTTGGCATAGATATACTCTACTAAGTCCTCGACCTCCGATTCCAGAGTCGGAGGACTAAAATGCCAGCCTTTAAAGTACGCAATGAGCTCAAAAATCAACAGAAGAACACTAATCAACAAGAAAAACTTGATGATCTGATAAAACCTCGATTCAGACCGGTGAGAACCGGAGGACCTCGATGAGACACGGCGCTTCGCGGTGCGAATAAGGGTAATAAACCCATTGGTTATAAACGCCAAGAAATGCGCGATTTTATGGACCTTAAGGAGGTAAATCCATGAAAGCTGGCGGGCACTGCGTGACCGGTCCTTCGCCGCCTCCGTGGAGGGGCTGTGTATATCAACCGTCAGAAAACTGGAAGTTTCTGATGAAGATAACAGGTCGTTGTGGTCGCTTGCTCTTTGCTTGTTCCACCATTCTTGAAATTCATAGTTTGGTGAAGGAGACATGTATAACATGATATGTATATAGATACACAACAGGGAGTGTGTGTATAGATTGGATCTGTGTATTTTTCCGTATCAATGGCGGATCATTGCCGGGTATTGGGTTCCGTAGAATGGGGAGGAGAGTGTGAACTCGGAAGAGACGAAGCTAAATTTAGAAGTCAAGCGGAGGGTTTATTATCTTTTTCTTCAGTCTTATGAGCATGTTTGACTAAACCTAAAAAGGTATAAAATTAAGTAAAAGTGATTTTTNGCATGCGGGGTTCACATGTTTAAAAAATTCAAAAAAAAAAAAAAAAAAAAGTGGATCCCCCCATGTGAGTTGTTGTTAATCTCGATTGTAAAACTAGCATGACTGTTTATCTTAATGCTTTACTGGGTTCTTAACTTTTAGCCCCTGTTTATCTACCATTATTGCAACACACTTTTTTCATTATAAATTCATTTTCGATCACACATTCTTACAATAAAATATTTTACACATAAAAAAAAAAATTACTTTTTAACTATACATTCACTATTTCAAAAATTAATTTTATTAAATAATGGTAGACAAATAGAGCTTAAATAAAAAGATTAATTCAAATAAAATTGTGATACATTTTTATAAATGACGATGACTCCATGGTTATCTAGATTGATATTGTCGGTACTAAATAGCATAATTCCTTTATAAAACAACCGTGACTCTATTATCAATCTAAGTAATTTATTTATAGAAAGCTTTCATCATTTGAAGTATTATTTTAACGGCTTTGCTAGGGGTACATCATCGTGTACATCGGGGTGTACACCCCCCTCACATGGGGGTAGAGCCCGCTCGAATAAAAAAATATTTTACACAAGTGGGTCCTACCCCCATATGAGGAGGGTGTAGACCTTGATGTACATCTTTTGATGTACAAGTAGATTTATCCTTATTTTAATTTTGTATAATTACTTTTAAGTATTTTTTTTAAAATTTAGCCAAACATTTTGATTCTGTGTACATGTGAATCGCCAATCAGCAACGTTATTACAGGGTTGTCGAAGCAGACCATGTGCTGTACCGGATCAGGAAATTGTTCACGCGCCTTTCGTCTTGTATTGAATTCCACTTGCTTCACTAAGTCCATGTTTGGTTCAGATAAGAATTTTCAATAAATTTTGAAAAAAATTTTTTTTTTTTTGAAGGAATGTATGATTGAAAAATTAGAGAATCCATGACATATGTAGTTAAAATTAAATGTTCACTTTAACTTAAATTTTAATACATCATATAAACTTGACCAAACATGGGCTAAATTGAAGAATCGAAAAGGGTGGCATGTTTTGCACATATTGACAGTATTGAACAGCATTAAATAATATTACACTCTCTTACTATGTTAATATATGACGTTTATAGGCAGGTTTGATCTTATTCTCGAATCCATATTGCACCCAATTTTTCAATTTCTAGTATAGATGAAGAATTAAATCAATACCATATGAATTGAAAATCTACTCAATTTACTTATAATATAAATTTGTATATAAGTAAACTTAACATGATACACTTAAACATAAGCCAAAATTAACTTCTTCTTTTTTTTTTTTTATTGACTACTCTATAGAAGAACCAAATATAATTAAGTCCCTGTTTGGTGGAGTTTCAATAGATTTTTATCAGATTTTGATAAAAGTTAATGAAATATATGATTGAAAAGTTTTGGATTTCATAAAATATGTTATTAAAATTAATTGTTAACTGTGACTTTGATAAAAATCTAGATTATAATTTATATCAAACATGGGCTAAATATATTCGGTTCGGTTTTGCTCTTTATATCAATGCAATCAATTTTGCATAAAAAGAAAAAGGAATGGTATTTTAGTTTATTGTGGTTGATAATTTGAATTTCAAATAATCACTTTTTTGTTGTGAAAATCTAAGTTTTGCCAAACAATACCTCAACAAGTGAGGCGCGTGATCTTTCGCAGGTGTGTTTGGACGGCTGCTGTTACAGTTGATGAACCTTAATTAAGAAGCTTTCCATTCTTCAAACAGTTAATTAACCGAATTAGCCCTTCCAAGGAATGTGTATTTTTTACGGTGATTTTTCAAAAAATGTATGGTTAAAAAGTGGGAAAATAAAATTTAAATCTAGGTACTAATTAAGTAGCATTAAATAATTGGAAATTTAATACCGATTGAACTACATGACACTAATCTACCCACTTAACATAAATTTATATGTATGTGTTAAGTGAAACTTGGATATGAAAGTTCTATTTATTCTCTTAAAATCTTCTATAGTTTATATAATAGGATAGCGAATATATGGACTATCTCGCGTCAAGAAAGTTCTTAAAATTAGAATATATAAATGTGGTAAATTTTATGAGCAATGATACACGTACAAGGGGGAGGGGAGGGGGTTCACTGCCAGGCCACTAATAGAGGTGTATTTTTTTTCTTTTTTTTTTTAAAACATGTGGGGCCCGCTAGTTTGAGTAACCTGACATACCCCTGTAGGTTTTGCTCATGTACTTGGAGCAAAACACAAATTTTATATGTAGTCACCAAATTTTTTGTGAAATTGCAAGTGGATTATTATACATTTTCAAATTGATGAAAATTGTATAATTAATAATAATGCTGCAACGAATCTTCCACGTAATCATTGCATAGAGCTTATTAATATGTCACGTCATAAAAGCATTAAAATAAGGGGAAAATTAACTTTTTAATGTAAAGATATCGTCATGACTATAATTTTATCATTTTTGTTTCTTAGATATCATATAGTGATTATGTGAAATCAATTATGGTATATTTATCAACTAAGTAGTTTTCGGGCCCAACTTGCATGATTTTTGCTTTTACTTCATGTAAATGAGTTTTTGAAGAAAATTACCATAATTTTTGTTAGAAAACTAATTTTTAAAAGAGTTTCATAGTTCATAAGTGTTTTTTAAAAGAAATCACATTGGACCAACTTTATTTAAAAGTTTTGCTATCTAGCCAATGAGTTCAAAAGCTGTTTTTGGATCTCAAAAGCTCATTTTGACTTTTCAAAAATCATGCTAAGCAGACTTTCGTTTATTTGGAAAACAGTAGGTAGGGATAGGTACAGTCTGATTTGGAAGAAAGCCAAACAGAATCGAGTATCGATGCGTATCTTAAAAATGAAATAATTAATTCCATCTCTTAGCATGAAATCGAACTGAAACCAAATTCATTGGTTATGGTTCGTTCCAATTTGGTTCCTTCAACTGAAATTCTTAAATTCACTAACGCTAATAGAATGTCTAACTATAAAAGTTCTAAGTTATAATTCTATAAATATCTAAATTTTCAATGATCGTTCATTTAAAACTATTATACATTGATACTGAAGATTTGCCTTTTTCAAGTCCAATAGTGCAACGATTTACATCAGTTGGTTAACATATTGGCTTGAATTAGTTGCTCAAAAATATTCACAGTCTCGCTTTCAATTTTCCAATACTTTGAGGACCCGAAAATGCTAACTTGGAATGGCTAAAAGGAACTCACGCCTTTTACTAATCCAAAATTATATTTATAAGATTCAAAGTAGGGTTGGACAAAAATCTCAAATTAAATCAGACCCGAACCGAATCGAATCGAATCGAGCGTTTCTCTTAAGTTAAATACCTGAATGCGATGGTGAATGCAGACATTTTGAATTAGTAGAACACAATCAAACTTGTCAAAAAGTGATGAAAAAATTTAAATATTCGATATTTTATTACAATTGTTCTCTACGAGTTCTTATATTTTGATAACATTCCATAATTACACCATTTTCAATATTTTCAAATACATCATTTTTAATATATGTAATCAAAATATCATTCAACAATTGATCTCCAATTCGATTGTATAGACAATTTTTACAATTAACATCGCAGAAAATGATCTCTTAACTGTAACAATAACCACGGAAATAACTAAAGCTAATGTCACAATCTTGTAAACTAATGGATAAACTTCATGTTTATTTTTCACAACCAATTTCTGTGCAAGTTCACTAAGATTTTGTAATCCTTCAAAATCTTTGTTAATATATCTTGTCGAATCCTTTTGAATTCTTTTCTCATCCAATTGACACAAAAAAAACTCTTGAATTTTCACCGTGAGGTCTGTCACAATTTTTGAATATTTGCACTTTAGTCTCCAAACTTTAAATCTCTTACACTTGAGCCCATGTTCACCATTTTTCTCCAAATCTTCATCAAATCATGAGTTTTACCTATTAAAAACAATACATAACAAATTAGATACTATTTCATCAAAAGAACTAAACAAGTCATTATTTAAAATCCCTTATAAGTGTATAAATGGAAACTTTGGGTCTATTGTCTTTAACATATCTCTAGCCATAAGACAAGCAATATCTAATAATTTACTGAAATATGCATTCATCCCATTATTGTTTTGCAACTCATTGCATAATTTAAGAACTACATTTTTCTTTCTAAATACTCCAGAACGTCGTTTTTAATTCCCTTACAATATTTCTGTCAACTTAATTTTACATGCATGTCTAGAACTCATACGAGGTCTTTTATGAATGTATTTGTAATAATAACATTCGATAAGATGAGCACATACACATACAAGTTAGGTATTAAACTTATCTTCTTTGGATGAATCCATTACTTGAAATAAACCTGCAAAGTTCTCTTCTCTAGGTAAAGATTCAAATACTTCAATTACTTCTTGAAATGATTTGGCTTCATTCTGACCTATTATATTCCCCCACAGTCTTCTCTAAGGCATTGGGCATTTGTCCTTCCACCACAATAGACACTAATGCCGTATCAACAGTAGCTTACGGGAGCCGCTTTTGGCGATCCTCTTTTTTCTTTTGTCAGTAACTTGTTAGTTAGTCGACTCCCGCCTCTCAAAAGGATTGTTGAACTTCACCGTTATTTATCAATATATGGATAATCTTCATCGGTCAAAGACGCTGCAGTCTGATGTGTACTGCATTATTGTTAACCTCAACTGATCT